CTGGCTCAGTTGGTTAAGAGCTCGCTCAAGAGTTTGAGCTGTGAGCAACAGTGGTTCAATTCCTGGCCTGAGCTGAGCAGCCGCTGAGCTGCCAAAAGGGGGCAGGATGGCTCAGCAAAAAAAAAAAAAAAAAAGAAAAAGATAAAGCAACCTGTGGAGAAAAGTGATTTAGAGTAATGTATGAGACAACACTGTCACAGATACAGTGGGGGAAGGTGAGGCTACCTGAGAGGTGTTCGCAGTGATGGTAGAATAGATTTGTCAAGGAAAGAAGAGTAAAAATTGACCCAGATAAATAGGAAAGTTAGAAAGTGAGATGGTTGTTATTGTTAAAATACTCTTATTCTTCCTAGTAATGGATTCTGTTTTGGCATTTGTTTCTATAAGCTCCCATGGGTTTCTGCCATGAAGAAAGGGCTCTAGAGTGAATTCTTTTCTTCTTGATCTCATTGGTTCTCGTAAGCCCTGCATTAGTGGGCTAACTAAACAAAAAAATTTTTAAGCTCAAAAAAAGCATTATTATAATTATTCTGGTTTCTGTGTAATATTTCTTACTCAGTCTTCATTTGGAAATGGATAATCTATTCCTATGGAATAATATAACATTTTAATGTGATATTTGGCTTACTTGTGTTTTAAGGCTGACGGAAAACAAGATGATATGTCAGGAGATCGCTTGATTAAATCAGACCTGTCAGGTAAATCCAGTAGATTTCATTTGTGTATGAAAAAGCAGACCACGAAATTTCTTTTCTCTCTCTTATTTTTTTTACATACAAAAAGTTGTGCATATGTAATGTATACAACCTGAGGACTTTAGAGCTATATATACACCCATGAAACCATCATGGTAATGTATGCCATAAGCATATTCCATCACCTCCAAAAGTTTCTCCTGCCCTTTTACTTATTATACTGTTAATATTATTTACTTATTCATTTTGTGATAAGAACACTTAACATAAGATCTGCCCTCTTCAAAAAAATTTAAGCATACAATATAGTATAAAATATCTTAATCCGAAACCTGTTTTTCATTTGTACAGATGTTATCCTAAAGTAAATTATCATTATTCATTAAATTAACAAAATGATAAAAATGCTTTAATTTTTTCCCCTTTTCACTGTATTAATTATTCTTTAGAACTCTTAAGAAATTAGAGCCTCAAAGTGAAACATCAATATTATCATTGATATATAATAGTAATAAATTAATGGTAAGACTTTTAATAAATTAATAATTTTATTTTAAAAAAAATTAGAGCCTCAGTTAGAGTAATTGGCGACCGTGAGTAGACAGTTACAGTTTGTCTGAGCCCACATGATTGTGTGAGGTTACCTCATGACCTGAGCCATGTGGGCCATCCCGGGTCTTCCATCTGACCCTGCCTGTCCTCTGCAGCATCAAAGACATCCTGTGTGGAACAGAGTATGCATCCATACATGACTTGGCATCAGTCGCTTGGTGAAATGCACTCTGTTTCTTCCTCCGGATAATGTGAACAGTTAACAGATCATGCCTCACTCTTAAGAAACCTTTTTTTTTTCTTTTAAATAAAAATTTGCCTTCTCTGAGTCCTCTTATTGGAAAGCCTTCCCTCCACCTTCTTCTGTGCAGGTCGCTTGACTGGAATGGTTGGCACTGCTCTGTATGTAAGCCCAGAGGTCCAAGGAAGCACCAAATCTGCGTACAACCAGGTAAAGGGGAAGGAAAGGTCTCAAGAGTGAGATAATAGTATGAACATTAAGATCACAGCATTTGGGGTTTAGTTACCAGCTGAAATAGTCAGGAACATTCACTCACTCGATACATATATTCACATGTATATTGAGTGACTACAGCAAACAGGACACGTGGTGCCCAAGGACAGTGACTGAAGCTAGCATGGTTGCCACCGAGGAGCTTACAGGTCCCCCCATCCATCCATAGATTTGAACTAACCCGGTTCCTTGCCAGGTCCAGGCAACACAAGGAATAAGGTAATTGAGTAATAGGACAGATGTCTTATTCCAGCCCTCATGGAGCTTATCCATTAGTGGATGAAACATGATAAATTAAAAAATAAAAGAAAAAACCACAAATTGTTATAAGAGCTAAGAAGAAAAGGAGTCCAGTGACCAGAGAAAAATAGGAGACAGAGTCTTTAGATAGACCAGAGAAGGCCTCCCCAAGAAGATGGCTTTTAGGATTAAGAAGAAGGGAAAAGTCTTGCAAAGTTGGAGCATGCCTGGGAGAAAAAAAGGGGTGAAACACCAGAAATAGCATGCATAAAGGAAAGGCTCTGGGTAAGAGCTAGTTTGGCCCATTTAAGACAGTCATAAAGCAAGTCCCTGTGGGTACCGCATAGGGAGAGAGGCACGAAGTGAAGCTGGAAAGGAGGGTGGGGCCAGACCAGGCCGCGCCAGCTTAGCATGATAAGGAGTGTGCACAGGGAGCCATTGAGGGATCCTGAGTGACAGACTTCACTCTAGCTGCTGCTGGAGGTTTCGCAGAAGTCCAGGTGGAGCAACCGATGGCTAGAACCAGAGCAAGTGGTAGCAAGTGAGATGGGGAGAAGCATGCTAATAAAAGATGCTTTGGGGGTGGGGGTGGGGGGTTGGCAAAACGGTTTTCCTAATGTAGGGCATGTTGGATGAGGAAAAGGAAGAAAAACAGGACAGTGCTCAGGTTTCTGCCTGGAGCAGCTGGGGGAAGGATAGTTAGGAAAGACACTGGGGACAAGGAAGAAAAGATGGCAGGAAAATTCCGTTTGAGGCATGTGAAATTTGAAATGCCTCTTGAGAAATCCAGCAGGAAATGTCCAGTAGGCTGTGAGGTTCAAGATTCAAGTTCAGAAGAAAGGTCAGAGTCAGAGGTGTAAATTTGAGAGTCATCAGCACACAGATGGGATTTAAAGTCATGAGACTGGATGAGATCATTTAGGGTGCAGAGTTCAATTTTTTAAATATACTAGGCAATTCACATCAAAGCATATTTTCAGGCTTGCAGTGGAACTACAAGCCTGGGTTTCGGTTCTGACAGCTCTGGGCAGTGACAGCACTGAGGCAGACCTCCAAATACCCAGCAAGGGTGAGGGTGTGGGGAGATGGACGTGTGCACACCGTGGGTGTGGGAAGGCACTTTCAGTGTCATCTTTGAGTTCAGTTTGGAATAGCATAATGAAATCCTTAAAAGGGCTCTACTCTTTGGCCCAGCAGTTCCACCTTTTCAAATGTATCCAAAGGAAACAACCAGAGAAGGTCCAAAAAGATTAATGCAAAAGGGATTCACCATAGCATTATTTACATAACAGTGAAAAATGATTAAACTGTTTAAAAATAGAGAATTGGTTAAGTAAATTATGGAACTCCCATGTAATTGAATACTATATGTCATTAAAGCCATATTTTAGAAGCTTGTTTAAAAAAGATATAATACTGAAAAAGATTCTTGCTATATTAAGGGAATAAAAGTTACAGCGTACATGTATATATACATTAACAACAACACAAAACATGCATATCTTAGACATCAGTAGTAACTATCCTTGAGCAATAGCATTGTGGTCACCCACAAAAGGGCTCTTTTATTCTTGGGGCTTTTCAGTGTGTTCCACAATTTCTGTAGCCAACACATGTAGGAAATACCACCATGAGTGTTTGTTTTTAAGACTTCAGGGGTCACTAGTGATAACTAGAGGGGCTCCTGTACTAACCCTTGAATCCAAATCCATTCAAGAATTTTTCTTGAAAGTGGCTTCTGTGCCTGTGAGCAGTTTCCATGAGCAGGCCCCCTCAAGCTGGCATACTGCCTTCTGAAAGTCACCTTCCCCCGACACTCTGCACTGACTTGACCTTTTTCTTCTGTACTTGCGCTTTCATATTTTCATACTTCGTTAGGATTCATCACATGATCTTTCTGTTGTGCCATTCTCCCATCCTCACTGGTATGGTTTTGCAATCAATAGCTCATCTTTGCTGTTAACTGCAGGTGTTGGTTTGTGTTTCACTTTTGAGATGGTTAGTAAAGATGCAAAGTAAATTCCTCTGGCAAATCAAGGTGGTCCTTGCATTTTAGTGATTATTCTTAGGGTTCAGCCAGTGGTTATCTACATCTGTATATCCAGCTAAACCAGTTATAATTAATTTTCAAGGAAAATGTTGCACAGTCATGCCAAATATTTTACCTCATCTATACCTTATACCTTATACTCTTTTGGAAGAAATCAGATTTCTTCTAGAGTGACTTATTTTTCACTTATGCAAATTTTGTTCCAACTAACAGTGCTCATTCTCTAATTCCCTGGTAAATTGCACGTTCATATCAAGGCTGTCTAAATACAATTATTTTTCCTCCTCAGAAAGTGGACCTCTTCAGCCTGGGAATTATCTTCTTTGAGATGTCCTATCACCCCATGGTCACAGCCTCAGAAAGGATCTTTGTTCTCACCCAACTCAGAGATGTATGTATCAGGTGTTTTAGTGCATCAGTTTCTAGTAACTTGAATCTTAGCATGGACATCAGAATTCAGTGCAGGGTATTTTTCTGATATTTATAACAGAGAAGAGGTGATCCTGCTATAATTTTTTATGTTTCTAGTAAATGGCAATCTACGTCTGTTTACACACCTCCAGCGATGAGCAACTTTCGTTTTGTTTATTTTTAGAAATCCTACTTAGAGAAATTGCTAGGTTATAGTTATTTTTTAAAAATTTTCTGAGGGATTTACTCTTAATTTTAAAAGAGGAGGAATCCAAAAATTTTGCATAATATCAATGCAACTACAGCAGTGGCAGTGGGTGATCAGGATAATGGATATTTAGTTCTAGAAATTAAAGGTTCCATCTGAATGGACCTGGTGTAGTAATGCCTAAAGAAAACCACCTTGAAGGCCAGCCTAGTGGCTCAGTTGGTTAAGAGCTTGCTCAAGAGTGCGAGCTCTGAGTAACAGGCTCGCTGGTTCGATTCCCGGCCTGAGCTAAACTGCCGCTGAGCTGCCAACAGGTGGCAGGATGGCTCAGCTAAAAAAAAAAAAAAAAGAGAGAAAGCAAAGAAAACCACCATGACCAGAAGTTAAAAGGGGTCTGGGAAAAATATCAGGCACTTGAATTTTTTTGGCAATAACATTTTCATTTGTGTTCTTTGGGATTAACCCTTTCCTGTGTTATTGCCCAATCTGAAAAGGGACTAATGTCAACAATGGGTGAGGTCAAGGATGCCCATTAGAAACAGCATTAAGGTGAAAGTGGAACGTAAGGTTTGGGTGAGGGAGATTTAGATTTACATATTCATGAACAAGAGATACAGAGAGCCTTTCTCTTCCTTCCTGAGCAGAGCGAAACAGTGTTAGAAAACACTGGAATTATTTTATTATTATTACACAGCATGGACAGCTATGTTCATATAATATAGGAATAAATGAAGTTGCTGTGCCCTTGCCTTGACTTGGAATAGTCTTAGAGAATTATGCCTTTGATGAAGTGCTTTTCTTTAGTCTAAAATTCATGTTTGTTCTCATTTCAAGAATATCTAAATTGTCAAGTTACTGTTATGATTGAGGTCTTATTTACCAGAAAGGTGAGAACTTTTTGGGAATTAGAGATTTCAGTGTTAATGTTTTCCTCTTACTCTGCATTGGGGTTTGGTGTTTTTGCCTTTTTTCATCTGTGCCTTTAATAAAGTTACTTTGTCTTTCTCTGAAACCATTTGATTTTAAAATACCTTTGCCCTCAGATGAGGTGCTTTCTATCACCTAGGCTGTCATTTGGGTAAAATTTATATTAAAATAATGTGTATGTACTTGGAAGGACGTGCATTGGGTTTCAAAAAGGTATCACATCAGTTTTCCCTTATTAGCAGATTTTCATGACTGTTTGATTTTCTTACCTCTGGTGAATAAATGCTCTCACTGTGGCAGTCTGCCAAGCACTTGCTGATTTGAATATAATATTCTTTCAGCCCACTTCACCTAAGTTTCCAGAAGACTTCGATGATGGAGAACACACAAAGCAGGTAATTTTCTGGTGCTTTAATTACTATCTTCACTCTTGGATTTTAATTACTATTTTTCTTCTTTTTCAATTAGCAATCTTCTGCCACTCATTCTCTTGTGTCCTGGGAACAATGTGGCAGGGGGGAAGGGGATTCAAAAGATAAAGCACTTAAAATGTTACTAGACTTGAAACACACCATAAATGCCAAGAATTGGCATTGAAAATGAACAAACAGGGTTCTTTTGTGTGGTTCATTGTGCTTTTGAAGTGCTACTTGGAAACTTGGCTCAGCTGTTGAAAAAAAAAAAAGAGTACTTTTACAGCTCATTGTTTTAGAGAAAGCTTGGGACTTTAAGAAAAGAAAAAATAATTTAAAACTATAGTTGTGTTCTGTTTTGTGGTTAAAGTAGCTCAGACTGTAAAGGGGAAGACTGGACAGTCTGATGTTACAGTATTTTAAAGCAAAATAAATTCTCCATGTTATAAATCTCTGAGTGTGTATGTAAGCGTGTCATAGGTTAATATTGGCATCCAGAGTATTTATTAGTGAATTTGTGTATTGCACTTCTGGTGTGCATTTCTTCTTAATGCTGGTTTGTCTCGGTGCAGCGTTCTTGGTTAATACTCTTGTCATATGGAAGTTTATTCCTTAAACTGACTTTCCTTAACAATTATAACCAAGGCAAAAGTTTCTTATTTAAATTATTAATGTTGAGAACAGAAACCTAGCTAGAACATTACATTAGTTTGCTATTTCTTACTTACTGGTTATATATCGGATGGACAAGTCACTTAACTTTTCTAGACTTTATTTTTCCTCACCTGTAAAATAAAGGGATTAAATACCCTTTATATATCAGCACTAACATCCTGTAATTTGGTGTCGTTTAACGTGACATCTGTGGCTAGAGGGACCCTTTCTGCCTCATCTATTGAATTAGTGAAGAACCATTGGAAAATATATTGAGTTGTGTTTCTGCTTCTTTTGTTGTTATGATTTTTTTTAAACTGAGTCACTTCCTGTGTTTCTGGATGTCATAAGTAAAGGTTCATTTCATAGCCTTTCCCTCTAACAAGGTCAGCCTCTCAGCATTTCCACATGTTGGCGGCTGTGGTGGCATAGCAACTGTATTAAACTGCACACACCAGAGCAACTATACAAGCCATTTCTCTCAACAGTGATTGTTGTCCATCACAGGTACTTATTAGATACCCTTGAGCATTTGCATTTGGACTGTGTAAAATCGACACCAAAACCACCACAACAAAACCACTACCATTGCCACATCACAGTCGTTGCTTTTTTCATCTGAAAGGAGCAGCATAGAAAATGCTTGTAGACTGAGAGTGACACAATCTTTGCTACACACAGAAATTAAGCAGTGTAACAGGGTCTGTTGTGCTCAACAGAGTATTGTTTTTACCAGTTTAATTTAACATACCTTTTTATAAAAGTTGTATCATGTGAATTCCTTTCTTTACATGAAAAGTAATTACCTAAATTTCATCCTAACACAGGTAGGATTTAAGGGAAAGAGGGAGAACATATATTAAAGATATATCATTAGAAGATAAGTTTCATCTAAAAATTGAAATTTTCTGATCTTAAATATTCCTCTAACTCCTTATAAATCCTTATGATAAACAAGAGAATTAAGAAACCTTTCAAAGGCTTAGGTTGCCTTCAAATAGTTCCCTACTTGGTGAGGTAGTAGCTGTGACGATATGATAAAGAATAACATAAATCAAGAGAATTCTAGGGAATGGTATCAATACAGATAACATAAGTGGAGCAGAAAAAAATAGAAAGATGTTTTACACCGCTGTAAGGATTCCAGCAGCTACCATACATTCTAGTAAAATTAGATATCCAAAGGTATTTGTTTTATGTTCTCATATCTTTTTTGATACAATATTTTGTGTGTTTAGAAGGCCTACCTTCTACTTCTAAGCAGTTGTTGAGGATTTTGGGGGTCCTTTATGACAATAAAATAGGAAAAGGGCCTCTACTTTTTAAGAGACACTCATATTACCTGTTTGCACAACACTATGGCCATAATGATGTGCAGGGGGGAAAGTGACAAATTCTGAGATTTCAGAAATTAAAATGCACCAAACTAAGTGCGAGAATTGGGGTGTCTTTTCTTTGACCTGACCCGACCACCGCTCATCAGGAGACTTCCTGAGCATCACTGGTGTGCCTACGTCTTGTTGCAGAAGTCTGTCATCTCCTGGCTGTTGAACCATGACCCAGCCAAGCGGCCTACAGCCACAGAGCTGCTGAGGAGCGAGCTGCTGCCCCCGCCCCAGCTGGAGGAGGCAGAGCTGCACGAGGTGCTGCACCACACGCTGGCCAACACTGACAGCAAGGCCTACCGCACCATGATGGCCCAGATCTTCTCCCAGCGTATCCCCCCTGCCATCGACTACACCTATGACAGCGACATCCTGAAGGTGGGCTTAGGCCAGGCTTCCAGAGGGAGCTTAACCTGGCGCACGCAAGGGTCAAGTCAGTTCCTTGCTTTTCATGGATACCTTGAATGCCTCCAACATAAATTCTGAATCTGAGGTTTGGGTATGCAGCATGTGTACATATCCATTATTCTGGGAAGAGCCACACTCTTAATCACTTTCTTGGAGGAATTCCTGACCCACCCCCCTTTCCACCCTCCCACGAGATTCAGAGGCAGTGCTTTTAGAGACTGAGCCCTGGCCCAGCTGCCCAGAGCCAAAAATATCCAATCTGCTCACATCCAGATCAGTAGTCAGCCCCTCACAATGTTGGCTGCACATCAGAGCCACCTGGGAGCTCTTTGACACTACAGCTGCCCAGACCCAACAACCAACATCCATTCTAATGACTTGGAATCTCCAGATGTGAGGTACCTCAAGGATCTGAAAGCTCCCAGGTGGTTTCTGAAGCATAGCTAAGCTTGGGAGCCTTCAATATTTTCTTTAAAAAAACAAACAAACAAAAAACAGCAACCACAATCTGAAGCAATATAGCAAAATGTTAAAATTTCATAAAGTTGGGTGGGCGTAATAACAGATTTTTGTTATAGTGTCTGTCTGTTTCTGTATGCTTAAAATAGATAATTTCCTAGTAGAGGAAGTCGTGGTAAGATGTGTGGAAGATCACTATTGATTTTAGGGGCCAGTTTTTGCTGTCTGACAATATTAGAAAGATACGGGATTATAGGTGACTTTTTTATTTTTGTCTTTTCATCTATTGTTTCTAAATTTTCGCTAGTGAAACGGTACCACTTTTATAATAAACATGAAAAAGGGAGGTCTTTACAAAATATGTAAATGCCATGTGGCTTTCAAGGGGCCCACTGTGAATCACCTTAGTATGTGGGAGGGGGCCAACTGCTGTTAGGAGTTTTACTGCTCCCCAGCATCCCTGAGAGCCCTCAGGGAGAACGTGGATATTTGACTAGCTCTTTCTAAAAGGCATATGTCAACGTGGTTAAGATCTTCGACCGTGAACCTAGCTTTCCTCCTCAAGCAGGACAATAGTGCAAGACACGTGGTTTCTTCTTCCCTGAATGTGTTCAAAAACGGACCGACTTGTTGAGATGTCTTTTGTGATACTGAGAATAAGCAATGTAACACTGACTGCCACACATTGATATTTTAGGGTAATGCCTTTGATTAGGCTCTGATGACATTTTAATTGGTCATTTTAGGGTAGCTTCTCAATCTGTACAGCCAAGATACAGCAGCACGTGTGTGAAACCATCATCCGCATCTTTAAAAGACATGGTATGTCCTTTTTTTTATTTAATTTTTTTTTTGGTTATGATTTTTTTAATTTTTTTGATTTTTTAAATTTTATTTATTAGTTTCAGGTGTACAACACAGTGCAATAATTATACTTTTTACCCCTCAAAATGTGGTATGTCCTTTTTAAAAAATCATATGCCTTCTCAAAAGATTATTTTTTTCATCATCATTAAAATGTACTGTTAATGGGTTTGGGTGCAATCATATTTTACTTTTAAATTCAGTTACAAGCAGCTGACATCATGTGAAATTTAAGCTTAGTTTTACAACTCAGCTTGTTGAGGAGAAACAGATTTGAATATTACAGCCTTGCTACTAAGTACAGCTGGTTGTAGAGTAAAAAATGTGACTAGATTGACAAACTTAACCTTAGGTAAGCTGGTTATAGAGTCACAAACGTGACTAGATTGACAAACTTAACCTTAGATGAGCTTCCCATTGAGAATCAAAGATAGATTGATGATGCTTTCAACAGTCCCAGTAGCAGACATTTAACTGTCAGCTTTGTGTTCATTTTAACTTGCTTCCTAGGAGAAGGAGAACCTGAGGATCAGTTGTTTTTTTCTCATTTGGTGTAGGAGCTGTCCAGTTGTGCACCCCACTGCTGCTTCCCCGAAACAGGCAAATATACGAGCACAACGAAGCTGCCTTGTTTATGGACCACAGCGGGATGTTGGTGATGCTTCCTTTCGACCTGAGGGTGAGTCTCGGAGCACTCTGCTGACAGTTCGGATGCCGTGTCTAGTCACAGGGGTGGCACATCTGTTCAAGGATTACCCCCACCAATCTTTTTTTTTTTTTTGCCAGACTTATAATCTAAATGTCACCCTTAGGAAACGTATTCTTATGGAAGTTACCAGGGTGAGAGCTTTACTAAATGTTTCCTAGGAATTTAGTAAACACTTGGCCTTGTGTACATCCACTTTGCTAATAGTACAAGTGCTTTTGGCCCTAGAAACCCGAACCCTGCATTGGAGGTGCCATGTCTGTACCTCTTATGTTGAGCTCTGTCGAATAACCATAGCAAGTTAACCCAGGCAACTCAGACAAATAAATGAGTTTTTTCTTTATTTCCTGGCTAGATCTCCAGTAACTTCCTAATATGTTCGTGTCTAGAGCAATTAAATTCTTGTAACAGCAGTATCTCTGCTAATTAGGTATGCTGAATTTTGCTCATGCTTTCTTCTGATCCCCAGGGTTCTCTTTGACAGCTACAGTCTTACCAGTCATTCACTCACCCACATAGTGCTGGCTGCTAACAGGCCCATCTCTACCACTATATGTTTGTAAGACACACAAGCGTTTAATACCACTAATGTACAGAAAGCACGTATAAGTAGAGGGATGAGCAAAGGATATAACCAGGCAGTTCTCAGAAGAGAAAATGCACAGGGCTGATAAACTTCTGAAAAGATGTTCAGCCTCACTAATAATGAAGCACTGCAAAGCAAAGGTATCACCACTTCACCCATCAGATGGGCAAAAATATTTAAATTAATATCCAGATAGGACAAGGAGGTAGGAAAATAGGTACTTTCATATGTTGCTGATGTAAATTGTAAACCTTTAGAAAAGCAATCTGAAAGTATTTAATAAAACTAAAAAAAAATTTTATGCATATGCTATACCCTTTGAATCAGCTATTCCACCTGCGGAATTGATTTAAAGAAAATAAACATATATTGGTTTATGAATATTGGTGTATGAATATTAAAAGGATGTTCACTGTCATATTATAGTGGTCAAAAACTGAAATTGCATGTTCATCTGTAGGAAAATGGTTGAATAATTTCTTATGGAATATTAATGAGGTATAAGGTCAAAATACATATATATTTAGGTATATCCATATCTATATTTGATCTGTAGAAATGTCCAATGTATATTGTTAGCTGGAAAAAAAAAAACTGAGTTTAAAAGGAACTCTAATATCCTATTTTTGTTATAAAGAAAGAAAGAAACTTTTTTTAAAAAACCAACTGAGTGTGTGCATATGGTGGGTGCACTATACATTTGCATCACCTGGTATGTGTGAGATGGAAACGTGCTCTCACATGCGTGTGAATAACAGCACACACCAGCTTGTTTGTATCGCCACAGAGTGAAGTGTGGAAGAATATACTGAACCTTTAACCATATTTTTCTGGAGGCGTTATGGAATCAAGGCAGTTTCTTTTTCATATGTATGTCGTGCAGCTTATTGCAAGAACATGTTTTCAGAAAAAATTCCTTCCATATTCTTGGCTTCTGTTTTTCTTCTACAATAAAGAAAGTGACGTGTGGTTATTTTGAGTGAGAGAGGAGTAAATAGTATATCAGACTTTTGGGCTCTGTTAAAGAAAGTGTCGATGTACAAACATTTACATAGCTATTCTTAAAACTGGCTGCTGCTTCTCTAGACATTAGGAGACTAAAGTGTAGATTTTTAAACATCTACCCCCTTTCTGTGAGCTAATAGTCAATTCCAAAAATATAAAAAGTATTTACCCTTTGAAAATTTGACCCATTAGTTAGTGATACTATCAGATCTCTTGGGACAATCTCAAAATGGTTTTATAAGTTGTGGCGATTATTAGTGGGTGATTATTAAGAATTTCTCCTTAAAGACTGATAGGAAAATCAGGAAACTCACCACAAGAGAGAATACCAGTCTGCTGCTGACTGACACACTCAGGAACGGTTCAAGGAATGTGAATAAGCAGTGCACACCTTTGTGACTGTACTAAAAACCAATGAATGTACACTTTCAAAGGGTGAACTTTATGGTATGTGAGTTGTATCTCAATAAAGCTGTGATTAAAAACACCCAAAAGGAGTGTGCTAGTTGACACATCTTGACATTGACCTTTGAAACTTTATTTTTCAGGTTCCTTTTGCAAGATATGTGGCAAGAAATAATATATTGAATTTAAAACGGTAAGAAACAGAGGGGGTTTCATTTGGTGGATGTGGGAAAGAAAACCAAGACAAATGTCTTATCTTCTGTGATCCTTACACAGTAAAGAATTTAGGGTTTAAAGTATTGAGCTTGGAATATGGTCAAAACACCCAGCCATAGTAACCCTTTCTATAAGGTGATGAGGACAGCCAGCCTCCTCTTTAGAAGAAAGGAAGCAGTTGGGTAACTACCCTGAAGCTCCTGTGGTCTATTCTGTGACTTCTAAATGTCCCCAAGCAACATAATAATTATTTTCACAAATGGTGGCTTGAAAAAACCATCTGGCTATTCTTGATCACAGGGGGCCCCTTTTAAAATTTAATTGGAGGGACAAATGGCCAGTGGTCCCGATGTGAAAACTGCCTACACAGGCAGCTGAACAAAAGCTGTGTGTAGGGAAGTGGAGTAAACCCAGCAGGAGCAGTGAACACTGGGGCGCTCCAGGCACTTAGCACTGGAGAAAGGTTTTCTGTACATTCAGGTACCATAGGGGTCTAACACTGAGGTCTTCATGAATTGTAACAGTATTGTTGTCAATGAGGCACCCTACTTTGAAGCTTTCTTCCTCAAAGAAATCAAAGCTCTTTAGAGGCCTTTATGCTCAGCTGCAAGTGAACAATTAATAGTCATAGTCCTAAGGTGTGGGTATCACTGTGTAGGAAGCAAGCACTTAAGGTAAAATTATTTTTGTGTGTAATTTCTTCTCAATTTCAGACATTAAAAAAAAGTGAGCCCCATAGTTTAATAATGGAAAAACTGAGAATTGAAACCTAGAGCACTAGGCAAGACTGTTCTGGGCGGGTCTATCTTTAAGCTCTCTTGGTTGTACCACTGATTAACTTTTTCATAGTTGTTTCTTTTATCTTGTTCAACAATCTGTTATGCATACTTGATTCCAGGAAGCAATGACCTTAGAAATCCGGTTTTTCTCTCCAGATACTGCATAGAACGTGTGTTCAGACCTCGCAAGTTGGACCGATTTCATCCCAAAGAACTTCTGGAATGTGCATTTGATATCGTCACCTCTACCACCAATAGCTCTCTGCCCACTGCTGAAATCATCTACACTATCTATGAAATCATCCAAGAATTTCCAGCTCTTCAGGTTCCTTTCCGTATTCTAACTTTCCCAGATTATCACACTAAGGTCCTTTGCCCAACATGGGGGGAAGTCACCGCCTACAGAACTCCTCAGTGTGTGCTGGCAGGAATCAGTTTTACTAAAGCAACTGAAAATAGTTTGCATGCATTGCTTTGTTTATTTGTTTGTTAGTTTGTTTTTTTAAGCTGAGCCATCCTGCCACCTGTTGGCAGCTCAGCGGCAGCTCAGCTCGGGCCAGGCATTGAACCGCTGTTGCTCAGAGCTCGCACTCTTGAGCAAACTCTTAAAGAAAAGAGTTTGATGATATTGCTTTTGTGGTTTACTTCAGACTCTTACCTCTGCCTTGACAAGGAAGGGTCTTGTTTTTGTCTGTTTTGTTTTGAGGGAAGGCTGTTTCTCTGCCTACTCTTCCAAAATACAAGAAATTAGTCTAAGATTCCTAGAATGCTTTTAGTACATTTGTACCCTGTTTAGAACCCTCAGTGTCTGCTTCCTCATGTTTGCATACTACCTAGGCAGTGGAGACTGCTTCTAGCACAACGATTTGCTCTCCTTAGGCCTTTCCCCCCATCCCACACGCTTGCCCCATGCACTCCCACCACAGTGCCGTCAGTCATGGTGTTCGCTTGTCTTGAATGATTGCTTCCTCCCAGCCATGGTTTGGGCTCTCTCTCCCCCAGGAAGCCTGACTCTTCCCTGCTTGATGGGCCAGCCACCTGTTCTTTCCCACTCGCACTGACAGCACTTGAGATGAGACATCACCACTTCCTTGAGTTGTGTCCGTTAGTTATTCAGTCAGAGTGTGTGCCCTTTCAGGGTGGAGCCCATGTATCTGCTTTTCTGTATGCCCCACTGCACTTAGCTCAGCACACAGCTCTGACTCTGAATGCTCATTAATGGGCTTGTGTGCACAAAATTAACGATAACCATTCCACCAGCCTGTGCTTAGTCAGTTACTATTGAACCAGATCCTTTCCCTCTTAAAATCTGTGTGAATTTGCTCCGGCTTTTTAACAGCTGAAGGCCAAGGTATTTTTTTTTTTTTCCTTTTAGCTGAGCCATCCTGCCACCTGTTGGCAGCTCAGTAGCAGCTCAGCTCAGGCCGGACTCGAACCATTGTTGCTCAGAGCTCAAACCCTTGAGCGAGCTCTTAACCAACTGAGCCACTCGGCTGGCCCTAAGGCCAAGGTATTTTTGATGTGTGTAATAAAGTGGTAAATTATATTATACTCTTTGACTACAACAATGTGAAAAGAATGTATATGAAAAAATAAGCTAGAAAGTAATATGCTAAAATTCAGTCTTCTGTGTGCAGTCCGCCCATGTATTAGGACGCTAAATTGGTGGTAAGAGTCTAGATTTGGTCGTGTACCTATATTGCTTTTATAATGAAAAAAAATTTTTTTTTTTTTTTGTATCCTAGGAAAGAAATTACAGTATTTACTTGAACCATACCATGTTATTGAAAGCAATACTCTTACACTGTGGGATCCCAGAAGATAAACTCAGTCAAGTATACATTATCCTGTATGATGCCGTGGTAAACATTAAATTACTTTGACATGATACTGAAGGATAATATTAGTTCATGAGCATTTTCTTACTGCCGTAACTAAACTATAATTATGAGTTTTGTCTCCTCCCTCACTGCTATAAGGTAAAAGAGCCAGTTAGCTTTGATTATATAAACAGTTAGCAAATATTGGTTGAGCTTTTATTCTGGACTAAGCCTTGTACTACTAGAGACCTCCAGGGTGATTTTTTTTAACTTTGGATTTCAAAAGATTGAATTATCTTATTTAATTTGTAAGATAATAAAGTTCTTCACTAAACTACTTCTCAAGGAAAAAAAAAAAAAGACCTTCACTGAGCACCTACCCCTATACCCAGCATATTCTAAGCTCTTCAGGTGGAATAACTCACTCCATCCTCACAAGTGCTGTTGTTATATGTACCTTACAGAGGCCAAGAAAAAGGAGTGTTAAGATTGAGAATGAGAGACTTATGCCCTGCCCTGAATTCTTCCAACCTGCCCGCGTTATTCAGGAACGTCATTTATGGTTTTGGATTGGTTGCATTGGGGAAGAGTGGCTTCAGTCTCTGTTGGGGCCTCACTTAACACTCCTTCCTGCGGGACTGGGGCAGTGGCAACTCCAGTTACTCTTATTAGCTGCATCGTAATATTCATTACTCTGTAGTACATGTGCAGGTTCTTTATCGTATGTGCGGAGCTTGGAGGGAAAACATTGAGAATCTGAGATAGTGTTATATTATGGGGCTTGGATGGAGGTGAATGCTTATCTTTTCTAATTTCCCTTCATGTTAAATGTTGTTTTTATCATAAATAAGAGGCACCCGGGAGACTCAGTAACGGTGCCAGTCTATGATTAAGGCAGAACAAATAGTAGAAGTCCATTATGGCTTATTGTGTTTTATACACCGAAAGGCTTAACTAGCTTTTCTTTCATCTGGCAGGTACCCCTGAGGGCCATAATATTACTGTTTGTTTCTAGTGGTTCTTTCCTCCCCCAAAAGTGCTACTGCTTTTTAGCAGTGACAGATACAATATGATGATGTCAGTCGGACACTGTCAGAAACCCCAGGGATCGTACTGAGGGGTTTCAGGTCAGCCTTGTTCATATCCCACTGCCACAGCCTAACTGCCAGCATGGGATGAAATGCTGAGCCTGTCAGTGCATGGTTTTTATTAGGGGAACACAGATCCATTGACCCCCCTCCCCACCCAAACAGAAACACCCTGGTTAAGCCTGTCCAACTATGGGTCGCCTCACCAATTAGCAAGTGCAACTTACCCCTTTTAAATTCTTTTATGTCAGGGTTTTTCAAGTTTTAAAACAATGTTAGTTTCAATTTTATAAGTAACTTGGAAAAAAAATTTTTTTGTAAATCACAGAATTAATCCATCCTTGATGATTAGGAGGAGTTTGTCCAAAATGAAGGGTGTACTTGTCAGAATTAGCCTGGAAATTGTATCTTGCTCAGGGCCAGTTTGATCACTCATTGTTACTTTTTTTTTTTTTTTTCTATATTAGACAGAAAAGCTGACAAGGAGAGAAGTGGAAGCTAAATTTTGTAATCTGTCTTTGTCTCCTAATAGTGTAAGTATAGCGTAAGTACCTCCTAATGGTGTTATTACAGCTCTTTCTGTGATTCTGGTACCAGAAAAATGTCACCAAATTCTTGCTGCAGTAAGGCAGCAGCATTTCCTGCCGCCTCACAGACAGTTGTTCCCTTGAGCGTTAATAGGTACCATGGCAACCTCTGGGATTAGGGGAAGAGAGAAACAGTGCTGTGATCAAAGAATGCCTCTCCCCACTGCTGCTTAATGTGCTGTAATCACCCTGTTCTTGCTCCATCTCCAGATTCTTCTCTGTCACACCCCTTGTAAAGGCTCTGCTTCGTGGAGCCTCCTGCTGAGCAGACCTGGGACTAGCTGTCCTCTTCTGAAATAGATCCCATGGGACTAGAATGAGGCACGGAGCTCTGCAGACTCATTTGTGTCTCCACCCATTCCACACCCCACCCCACCCCCATCTTCTGTCACCTCTGAGTCTAATCAAAGCTCTTGCTTTTCTGGTACATTTCCTATTTATAAAATCTTGCATTTGTTCCCATTGGCCATGAGAAACATCTCACAGGATCACCAGGTTTGTTGTATTCTCTCTACAGGCATAAGATTGGGCCCAGATCTTTGGCATAGTAACCCACACTTAACTGAGTCCCTAAAAGGCAGAAGACAACAGAGATTTCTTACATTTTTCTGAATGTTTATATAAGAAGAGAGATTTTAAACAAACAAAAACTTTCCCAGAACTCTTCTAGACCCTGGTCTGACACTCAATTACGTGATCCTGTGGTGGTCAGCAGAATTCACTATGGAGTAGATTAAAATATGATTATACACCAGACAGACAGTCATTCAATTTTTTTGGACACCTACAGTGTTGCAGGCAGAGTGCTAGGGATATAGCGGAGAGTAAGTTGTGGAGTCTACAGACTGCTTTCAACATCTTAACTCATATTGGCCTTTAAAAAGCCATGAAGGGATACATTGCAGCATACTCATATATCTACACTCATCTCTTTAAAACAACTTTCACAGGGTACACGTAGACCACAGTTTAAAGAAATCACCCATACAGTTTGCAGATAGGGAAAGTAAACCAGAGACATAGCACTAGGAGTTCTAGAAATTTAGCCAGCTTAAATTTTAAGTGTTAAATATCAGAGGAGATGTTTATTAATGCTATGCAAAGTAACCCAATGGCATAATAGTCTAATATGAAGCATGGTATTTAAATGATACCCTAGACATGTACACAACACATAACTATGTGTATGAATAGGCCCATGTATAAATAGCACAAAAACTGTGTTCAAGGAACTGCCCAGTTCAGTAATTTCTTACCTGAAGGTTTACTCCCCCAAAGTTCTTGGAACTAATGTCACATTTTCAAAAATATTTCACACTTGCACATGAAAGCTGCATTGTTGCTAAAATAGCTTCTTTTTGCGAAATCCACTGGTCTTTTGATGATGATAAACATTATTTCAAAGTTGTATGTTTGATTGGTTGAAAATAGAAAAATTAGTATCTAATAAAGGCAGTTGGTATTAAAAATGTAACTCTAATGATATTTTTAAAAGGGAGTAGAAAGATTGCAAAAGAGTTTCAAATATCTGGCCCAGTCTTCTTGTTTTACAGATGAGGCCCTAAGGCCCAAAGAGATACCGTGACTTGCCCAAAGTGACCTGGAGTTAGCTGATGATAGGATATGGACCCAAGCCTAGGGATTTTTGACTCTAGTGCTTCCGGTATTTTATTAATGGGATAATTTAATGTTAAAATTTATTGAGAAGAAATAATTTATTAAGAAGAAAATTTTAATGAGACAAATAAAATTAAATATTTTATCTTTAGTAAAGAGATTATAGATTTTAACACTTTTAGGATTTTTTAAAAACTACAAATGACTTAAGATTATTATATTAAACTAATATTAAGCTAAGTCTTCATTCAGCTCTTAGTTTCTAGGTGCCAGTTTTGGGGTTTTTTTAGATTTTTTATTTTTTTTAGATTTTTTTTTTTTAATGAGGAATTGGGATAGGGAACAGTGTTGGGGAATCAGGGAAGGGGAACAGACAAGTTGCTGTCTTTTGTTCTTCAGTCTAGTTGTGGAGGACGTCGCTTCACTGGCCCAAGTTGGTATTGTGATCATTACGCTCTTCCCAGCTATGGCAGATCAGTTGCCGGCCTTTGGACGGCGGCTCACGGCAGCTCACGTCGGCTGCCAGCTGCTCATGCTGGCTGCTGGTCACTCATGGTAGCTCATGGCAGCCCGCTGCAGCAGGGGCTGCAGCCTATGCCGTCGCCAGCAACTCACGGCAGCCCAGCTCCAGGTTGAGCTGTTGTTCACCATCTTAGCTGTAGAGGGCACAGCATCACTGGCCCATGTGGGATCCGAACTGGCAGCCCTGCTGCTCAGAGCTCGCGCTCCCAAGCCAACTCTTAACCAACGAGCCACTCGGCCGGCCCTCTAGGTGCCAGTTTATAGTTGAACCAGGTTCTGCTTGCCTACAACCTTAAAATAGTTATAATTTTGTGTTAATTTCTATTCAGCTCCTGGGAGTTTTCTCTCTGGTCTTAGGATCCTAGTTATTTCCTTTCACCTGTTCCATGCCAGGGACTGTGCCTGGCCCACAGAGATCATCACCAGCCACTGCCCTTTCCTGGGGAGGACGATGTGTACAGCTGGTGAGAGGTGGGAGCTGGGATCAAGGTGTGAGCAGAGAGAAGGAAAGATCAGGAGGATGTCTGCAGGAGATGACATATGAGCTGCATTCCATTCAAGGAAAGGGAGGAGAGGGGATTTCTGGCTGACTGGGTGTGATAATGTTAGGATGAGTCAGGGCCGGCCAAGTGACGCGATGGTTAAGAACTGGCTTCGTACGCCAGAGGGCCCCGGTTTGGATCCCACATATGAGGGCCAGTGACACTGCCCTCTACAGCTAAGATGCTGAAACAGCTCAACCTGGAGCTGGGCTGCCGTGAGTCACCGGCGACGGCACAGGCTGCAGCCCCTGTTGCAGTGGGCTGCTATAAACTACCGTGTGTAGCCCGCAGCCAGTGTGAGCGGCCATCAGCCACCATGAGCGGCCGTCCAGAAGCGGGCGACTGATCTGCCTCACCCGGGAAGAGCGCAATGATGGTGCCAACTTGGGCCAGTGAAGCAACGTCCTCCACAACTAGACTGAAGAACAAAACGACAGCAACTTGTCTGTTCCCCTCCCCCCAATTCCCCAGCGCTGTTCCCATCCCCCAATTCCCCAATAAAAATCTTTAAAATATATATATATATTAGGATGAGTTAGTTTTTGCCTTCCTGCCCCCCATTTGTGTGCCTGTCAAAATGGGAATTCATGAGAATGAGGATGAGAAGGGGAACAAGACTGGCTTGAAAATATATCGTTAATGGAGGCTCTGCTAGTGCCAAGGTCTGCTCTGCTGGGGTCAGCATTAGCTGTAGGTTTGTGTGACTAAAAATAAACTGGGAGTAGGTGCCTTAGAGTTGCTGGAAAAGGATAATCCTCGATTGAGATTATGGTAAAGGCTAATATAACCCTCAACTACAAAGTTCCCCTCTTGGCAGTGCAAAGCTCTGCTGGGGCCCTCTGTGTGTATGGAACACAGTGCAAAGCAAGTCCTCCTGGCCGTGGGCTGGAAGCTAACTACGTCTCTTTGCTTTCTAGCTGTGTCGACTCTACAAATTTATCGAGCAGAAGGGAGATCTGCAAGATCTAACACCAACAATAAATTCATTAATAAAACAGAAAACAGGCATTGCCCAATTGGTGAAGTATGGCTTAAAAGATCTAGAGGAGGTTGTCGGACTGTTGAAGAAACTTGGCATAAAGTTACAGGTTTGGCAATTGTTTGATTCTGGTGTTTGTAGCATTCATAACAGCACAAAGGGGAAATGGGGGCCAGCCGAGTGGCTAAGTTGATTAAAAGCTCGCTCAAGAGTGTGAGCTCTGAGCAACAGCAGTTTGAGTCCCGCCCTATCTGAGCTGCCAACAGGTGGCAGGATGGCTCAGCTAAAAAAAAAAAAACAAAGGGATGGGTTTTATTAACGCTAATAAGTGTTTTATTTTTTCCAGAAGAACTCTGCTTTCTACATTTTGGAACATTTGATAGCTAATAATAATTTTTACTTAAATCAGAATTTCTTTGCAAGCGTCACAGTTTCTATCATTCAGCAATTCTTAGTATGTCGGCCTCAGAGAAGTGGTTATTTTTGAAGAGAGCAGAGTTCTCTTACTTGGCAATCTATAGCTAAACAGACTTTGTGTCAGCTCTTACTGAATACTTGGTTTATGCTGTGTACATTTTTCTGATGCTACCAATGGAACACGGAGCCCCTGACACATTCATGTGGCATTTCACTTAACAGGTTTTGATCAATTTGGGCCTGGTTTACAAGGTGCAGCAGCACAGCGGGATTGTCTTCCAGTTCATAGCACTCATCAGACGGAGGCAAAGGGCTATCTCTGAAATCCTTGCAGCTGGTGGCAGATACGACCTGCTGGTGAGGGTTGCCCTGTATTTATTTCATCTTTTATGGCTTAATTTCATTTCTCCCTAACTTGTTATGTTGGTGATTTTTTTTCAAACCCACAGAAAAATTCAACCAGTCATATAATTGAACACCTGTAAATCTTCTAGGAATAGAAATGTCTTGTGAACCACATTTGTAATGTTTTTAAACTTTTTTTTTTTTTTAAGATTTTTATTGGGGAATTGGGGAATGGGAACAGTGCTGGGGAATTGGGGGAAGGGGAACAGACAAGTTGCTGTCGTTTTGTTCTTTAGTCTAGTTGTGGNGTTTTGTTCTTTAGTCTAGTTGTGGAGGACGTTGTTTCACTGGCCCAAGTTGGCACCATCATTGCGCTCTTCCTGGGCGAGGCACATCTGTCGCCGGCTTCTGGACGGCTGCTCACTGCGGCTGCTGGCCGCTCACGCTGGCTGCTGGCTACATACGGTAGCCCGTGGCAACCCACTGCAGCAGGGGCTGCAGCCTACACCATCACAGGCGACTCATGGCAGCCTAGCTCCAGGTTGAGCTGTTGTTCAGCATCTTAGCTGTAGAGGGCCGTGTCACTGGCCCTCACATGTGGGATCCGAACCGGGGCCCTCTGGCGTCCCAAGCCAACTCTTAACCATCGCGCCACTCGGCCGGCCCAATGTTTTTAAACTTTTATGTTAAAGTAATTATAAATTCACAGGAAGTTGCAAAGACAGTGCAGAGAGGTCTTGTGCATCTTTGACCCAGTTTCTTCCAATGGTTAAACCGGACATAACTCTAATAAAATATCAGCCTCAGAAGGGGACATTGCTCTACTGTCTGTGTACAGTTCTGTGCCATTTTATCACATGTGTAGATTGCCATAGCCACCACTGCAGTCGAGATGCAGAGCTGTTCCATCACCACAAAGTCTTCTGGTGTCAACTTGACCATCAGGTCAAAAGACATGTAGAAACCTGACCTGCCTTTATGTCCCTTACCCCATCCCCCACGTAGAGTGTAATTGTCTTACATTCTTCCTCTATGTACACTGAGAGCCAATTGGACAACACTATGCTTATTACTTCAACTCTCAAACTCTGAGAAACTCAAGAGAAGTAAATCTGTTGTACTTCCCAAACATTTCTGGTTTCTGATGAGAAATGTGCTGTTATTTGAATTATTTTTTTCTCCTTTAGGAAAGGTGATAATGCTTTTAAAGAGTTTTGGTTTTTTTGGTCTTTAGTTTAAAATTTAGTTATGATGTGTCTTGGCATGACTTTGTTTGGATTTATCTTGTTTGGGACTTTCTCAGCTTCTTGAATCTATAGGTTTATGTCTTTTGCCAGTGTCCCTGTCGTCCCCCCCCCCCTGCACACACACTGGACCCCAGCAGGGCACCATAAGAGAAGATGATATGGGAGCCAGGACTTTCATATTTGCCTGGGGACAATTCTCTCCCTCCCCAGTGTCAGTGGAGACCAGCAGCCCCAGGATCCTGGCCTTTCACCCCCACCCAGCAGTTGCAAAGCCACCCTCCAGGCTGGGATGGTGCCAGAGGAGGCTGAGTGGGGAGCCAGAACTTTCACCACTCTCCAGCAGTAACGGGGGTCTCCCCACCATGCCCCCACTCCCCTCACCACCATATCAGTGGGGCATGTTTCAGGCATTATTTTATCACCTTTTTCCTCTCCTTCTAGGACTGATGACACAAGTGTTAGATCTTTCGTTATAGCCCTGAGGTCCTGAAACATTTTGCCTTGTAGTCTATTTGCTCTCTTGTTCAGATTGAGTAATTCCTAAGGTTTCATCTTCAATTTCACTGATCGGCTCCACTGTTATCTCCATTCTCCTACTGAGCCCAGCCAGTGTGTTTTTTAATCTACTTCTTTAAAGATGTACCTTTTTTTACTTCTTTCACGCCTGTTTGTAGTGCTTGCTGAAGCATTTTTATGATGGTTGCTTTAAAACCCTTAGGTAATTCCAACAACTTTGTCATCTTAGTGTTGGTGTCAATTGTCTTTTCCTGCTCACTTTGAGATCTTCTGGGTTCTTGGTATGATGTGTAGTTATTAGTTGTATCCTGGATATTTTGAGTATTTTGAGACTCTGGAGTTTATCTAGAGCTTCTGGCTTGGCAGGCCTCCTCCGATACCACACCTGTGAGACAGAGAGGTGCCACCTTCCTACTGCCAGTTGGAGGTCAAGATCCAGGTTCCTCATTCAGCCTTCTTAGACGTCCCCAGGGTGGGAGAGTCGTGCCTTGTTACTGCTTCCCACATGTCTCCACTGATACAGTGGTGAGGGAAGGTGGGGGAGGGGGAGTTGGGGGGAGACCCTGTTACTGCTGCATAGTGGTGAAAGTTCAGTTTCCCATTCAGCCTCCTCTGGCACCACCCTAGTGGGGATGGAGGCCTTGTTACTGCTTGAGTTGGGGTGGAGATCCGGGATCCTGGGGTTGCTGGCCTCCACTGATTCCATTGGGGATGAGGGCATTCCCTCCAGGCAGATAATGAAAGTCCTGGCTTCCATTTTGTCTTCTATGATGCCACCCTGCTGGGACTTTGGTTGACAGGGGGACTCCTTACACCTAGGTGAATGTGTAGGCTTGCATTCAGCCTTTGCTGGTGGGGGTTGGCCTGTGTTTATTCCTGTGGTGTTTGGCTGGAGCAGGGAAGGTATTGTCTAAATTTCCTGTCCTGTTGGGTTGCCCCTTTCATGGTCTTTTGGCCAGAGAAAAGGTTTTCATCCCAGCTTTTTTGTTGGTTCTCGTTGGCATGTCTGGGTTGCCGGTTTCTCCAGCATTCAATCCAGGATATATGAGGCAAAGACCAACCCAGGGAACTAGCCACAAGTCATGTGGTTCCTGGCCATCTATCACCTTCTCTCCACGTCAGAGTCTTCTTATGTTCGTTTTATATGTAATTTTTAGGTGTACTTATCAGGAGGAATAGGGAGAAGTGTACCCACCCATCTTGGATCCAGAACCTATATATGTTATATTTTAAATTATCTAGTAACATAAAGTAAGTAAAAAGAACCAGGTGAAATTAATTTTAATATATTTTATTTAATACAATACAAAGCGTGATCAAAAAATACAGTGAATGCTGCTGCTGAGTGCTATCCAACAGAAAGGCAAGGATCTTCAATACAGGAGCTGTACGTCAAACCTTAGTAATAGTGTGTGACAAGTTTCAACTTGTTCAGTACAGTCAGTTTGTGAGCTATGGTTGAGAAAAGGTGTGTTGTAAAGTGTACCTTAAATTATCCTCCATCATGACAACGCTTGGTGTCACACATCACTTCTGGTATATGACAATTTCTGTCAAATAAAGACATTACGGTGTGTCCTCAACCACCTTATTCACTGGGTCTGGCACCGTGCGACTTCTAGCTCTTCCCCACAGTCAAAATGTCCACAAAAGGTAAACATTTTGAATCAATTCAGGACATCGATCAAAACAGCCACGACAGTGCAACTAAAGACACTCACGAAAACTACCAGAACTGCTTCAGAGAGTGGCAAGAACGATGGGTTAAGTGTGTTCAAAGTGCGGGGGACTATTTTGAGAGGGATTAATGGCAATGTGTGTTTTATTGTAATCAATTTTTTTAATTTAAACATTCACCGTATTTTTTATCACACCTCATATATCCAAAATATTAGTGCAACATGTAATCAAAAAATTTTAAATGATTGAGCAGCTATTTTACATTCTCTTTTTTCTAAGTATTTGCATTCAGTGTTTACTTAACCCAATATACCCCAAATACTGTTTCAACATGTAATCAGACATCTAAAAATTATTAATGAGCTATTTTACATTCTTTTTTTATTCTGAATCTTTGCAACCAGTATGTATTTTACAGATACAGCACAAGTCAATTTGGATTAGCCATATTTCAAATGCTTAAGTCACATGTGGTTAGTGGCTGCCATATTGAATAGTGCAGTTCTGTATGTAACATTTTCCTAAACTTGGCACGTGTGCTTGCTTCTCTCTCTCTCTCTCTCTCTTGCTACACACACACACACTCACACACATCTTTTTGTTGAACCCTTTGATGATCAGTTGCTGACAGAGTGTATGCCCTCTAATCATTGCTTTGCCCATAATTGAAGTTTCTTCTCTATTTCATAACCAGAGCTGTGTGTCTTTCTCTGCAGATCCCCCATTTTAGAGGACCACAGACTCTGGGGCCAGTTCCCACTGCCATTGGGGTCAGCATAGCTATAGACAAGATATCTACTGCTGTCCTCAACATGGAAGAACGTGTAAGTTCTGGCTTTGCTTTCCAGTGCGCCTTGAGTGGTCTTTCATTTTGTAGTCATTTACATGGAGCCCCCAATGTGGCAGCGATAGACTAGAGTTTGGGGGACTGTTTTTGCCATGATAAGGCAAGCCTAAGACTTGACGTGAGTCCTTGCATTTCAGTCCTTAGCTCTAGCTGGGGGTCCTTAGACAATCCATCCATCCTTTCTTAGCCTCACGCTCCTCGTCTGTAATAAGCTATGTAAATGTGAGATATTACAGTTGTTAACAGACTCATATCAAAGCCCCTTGTTCAAAAACCCTGTTGTACTGTACCTAGCTAGAAATGGTTCTTTTTCCTTTGTGTTTAAAGCAAGATTAGTTGTCCCAGAGGAAAAGAATATCTTCCTAATGACTTAGTGTACTTGAAGTAATTTCAGTTTTAAAAGACTAATATTAAAGTTATTTTTACTGTTATTTATTTGTTTGTTTTACTGTATCATGTTGAAGCAAAGACTTCCACACATATGTTGCTATACAAGATTTCATATGTCTGTCTTCACATGAGTGCTGCCTCCCTCCTGGTGGTGGTCCTGCCTACACTAGAGAGTCTCGCTCTTCTAAATGTCATCACTGTTTCTGATCCAGGTTACAATAAGCTCTTGTGACCTCCTAGTCGTCAGTGTTGGCCAGATGTCCATGTCCAGGGCCATCAACATAACCCAGAAACTCTGGGCGGCGGGAATCACAGCAGAAATCATGTATGACTGGTCACAGGTAATGAGACAAAAAGCCCCTGTGAGTGGAATGCAAATAGTTGTGGCTTCCATGGGAAACCATCCCCTACAGCTTTAGGTCCTCAAACTCTATTTTCTCTGTGGGTAGAGTTGCTTCCTATATTCGTTTTTGATTGCCACAGTAACAAATTACCACAAACTTAGTGGTTTCAAACAACACAGGTTTATTAGCTTATATTTCTGGAATTTGGAAGTCTGAAATCAGTATCTCTAGGCTCAAATCAAGGTGTTGATAGGGTGATTCCTTCTGAAGGCTTGTGGTGGGGAGAGTCCATGGCCTCGCCTTTTCTAGCCCCGAGAGACCACCTGCGTTCTTTGGCGTATGGCCCCATCCTCCATCTTTCAACCCGGCAGTGTGGCATCTTCTTTCCTCTCTGACCTACGCTTCTGTCCTTACATTTGTCTGTCTCTAACTCTGACCCTCCTGTCCACTTCTTACAAGGACGCTTGTGATTACACTGGGTCCACCCAGATAATCTAAAGATCCTTAACTTGATCACATCTGCAGAATCCCATTTACTATATAAGGAAACAGTCGCAAGTTCCAGGGATTAGGACGTGGACACCTTTGTAGGCCATTATCCAGCCGACCACAGTTCCCAAAGCCATTCTGGGTTTAGTGTTTTTGTGGCTTTATATCCTCAGACCTCCTACAGCCCACCGAACCCCTGCCTGCCCTTTAGAGATAAGTAACTTCTGTAGAGCCACAAGCAGATCACAGAGGGGCTGCACCCATAGGTGATCGTCCAGGTTGTACACACGTTCACCCACACTCAAGGTGCTCCAGAGCGTGAAGAGACAGACGCCTGTGGCAAGAGAAGCCCCACCCGCCCTCTTGCTCCTTTCACGTCACCTGCCAAGTGGTTTTTCTGAAGCTGCTGCTCTCCATTTGTGTGTGTGTGATATAAAACTCATGTCAGAAGTAAGCTGGGCAATAATTTTTAATCATTTGACAGCAGTATCTTCTTCCATTTGTTTACTTGTTTCATACATGGTTAGAGAAGTACTGTGTCTTTAATAGTAAAGTTTAAGACTACTACTAATGGTGACTTGAGTCCTGCACAGTGGCGTCCCCCACAGACTTCTCTGTTCTGATGTTCTTTGCTTTAAGCTTCAATTCTGCTTTTCACCTTCCACTATTACTTGTGTTGCCTTTGCTTTCCTCAAGTGCCTTTTCAGTGTGTGTGCACGCACGTGTGTGTGTGTGTGTGTGTGTGTGTGTGTGTGTGTGTGTGTGTGTGTGGTTTTGGCACCTTCCATTGAGATTTGAAGCTTTTGAAAACCTCTTACTGTGTCCTGACCACACTGATTGCCAATGGCCCCTTAGAACAGGGGTCGGCAAACTGCGGCTCGCAAGCCACATGCAGCTCTTTGGGTACATACATGTGACTCTGAAGTAAAATTGAAAATGAAAATAAAACTATCATAGCTTCATTTATAAAAATTTTATTTTTATTTATTTATTTATTTGTTTATTTTTAATTGCTACTGGGCAAACCTACATTTATAAAATTGTTAAAGGATATTATTCACATAATGGTGATTTCATTTGTTTTATGGCTCTCGAATAACTTTTAAATTGTTGTGAGGGACAGGACTGGCTCTTCCATCTCAAAAGTTTGCTGACCCCTGTCTTGGAACAATAGTGAAAGTAATGAAAGCAAAAGAGGTCTTGTTCCTCCTTTGAATTCTGTACTTTTCTTGCTTCATATTTATAACCCCTGAAGTCAGCATGTTCACTTTGAGCATACAGTTGAACAGTGTGTTCATTCTCCTTTATGACTTGAAGCTGCTTGCAGGTGCTCAGCATTGATTTCATGTACTGTGCTTATTTATTTCAGTCCCAAGAGGAATTGCAGGAGTACTGCAAACATCGTGAAATCACATACATGGCTCTTGTCTCAGATAAAGAAGGAAGCCATGTCAAGGTAAAGACTGGAGGAAATCTTTCCCAATTCAACAGATTTTCAAAACCCTGTACTAACTGGAGCGCCTAGCTTCCCAGTGAGGCCCTGGCCTTGGGTGTGGGTGGAAATTCATTACTTCACTCCCCCAGCATTGCTGGGCTTGTTACTGAAGAGACTATAAAATAAGGAAGAGAGTAACTGAATCTGAACACTCACTTCCTTAGAAAACAAATTTTTAAAGGTAGCTGTAGATATTTTTCCTACTTTTTCCCCTTGTTTTCTTTTTCCATCTAAGAAAATAAGAATAATTAGAGCTGATACTCCTGTAGTAGTATCATACTTTACTACTATGCCAGAAGACTAGCATATCCTCTGGCTGCTTATTCACCAGTGTTACTGTGTTGCATTTAATAAAATCCTCATAATTATACCACCTCATAATCTTTATTTCTGTTTTTAAAGGAAAAAAAATCAAAATCAACATTTTCTCCCTTGTTTTTCTCTTATAATGCCTTTGGTTTTGATATCGGGGTAATGTTGGCTTCATAAAATGAACTGGCCAGTGTTCTCTTCTGTTTTCTGGAAGATTTTTTGTAGAATTGGTATTATTTCATCCTCTTATGTTTGATTGAATTCACCAGTAAAGCCACATGGGCCAAGATATACACGTAGAGGTACTCTGGTTGCCTTGTCTTGAATGAGTTTTGGTAGTTTATATCTTCCCTGGAATGTTTCCATTTCATCTAAGTTTTCAAATATTCCCTTGTTGTTCTTGCAGTATCTGTAGGATCTGTGTAGTGATACCCCTCTTTCATTCCTGATATTAGTAATTTATGTCTTTCCTCTTTTTATTCCTGATCAGCCTGGCAAGAGGTTTATCCATTTTATTTGTCTTCTCAGAGAACCAGCTTTCGGTGTCATTGATGTTTGTTTTTTTGTTTGTTTGTTTTCTATTTTATTGATTTCCATTCTTTATTATTTTCTTTATTCTGCTAATTTTGGATTTAGTTGATTCTTCTTTTTCTAGTTTCTTCAGACAGAACTTTAGATCAAGGGTTGACAAACTACAACCTACAGGCCAAATCTGGCCCTCAGCCTGTTTTTGTATGGCCTGTGAGCTGAATCGTTTTTTACAGTCAAAGGAGGAGGGGGGGGGAGGGACAGAGTGTGTGACCTATAAGACAGCGTGTGACCTGCATAGCCTAAAATGTTTACTGCCTGGCCCTTTAAGAAAAAAAAAAATTGCTGGCCACCTGGCTTAGATCATGGATTTTAGATTTTCTTCCTTTTAAGTATAAGCATTTAACACTATAAATTTCACTCTAAGTACTGCATTGGTTGAATAACACACATTTTTATATTTAGTGCTTTCATTTTCATTCAGTTCAGAATATTTCCTAATTTCTTTGATGATTTCTTCTTTGATCCATAGGCTATTTACAAGTGTGTGGTTTAATTTCCAAATATCAGGGTATTTTCCAGAAATAATTCTTTAATGATTTCTAGTTTAATTCCTTTGTGGAATTAATCATACAGAGATCATACTCCATGTGATTTCAGTCCTTTAAGTTTTATTGAGACAGGTTTTAAAGTCCAAAATATGGTCTGTCATTGTAAATGGTTCATGTACACCTGAAGAATGTGTGTTCTGCATTGTTAAGAGGAGTGTATGATAAACATCAATTATCTCGTGTTAGTGGACAGCATTGCTTAAGTCTTCTATATCTTCACTAAATTGTTTTGTCTACTTGTTCTATCAATTACTGAGAGAGGAGCATTAATCTCTAGCTATAATTGTAGGTTTATTTATTTCTCCTTTTAGTTCTATCAGTTTTTGCTTCATGTATTTTAAAACTTTTCTTTGGTGAAATACATTTAGGATTTTATGTCCTCTTGATGAATTGACCTCTTTATCATTATGAAATGTTCTTTATCCCTAGTAATATTTCTTGTTCTTAAGTCTTTTGGTTAGTGTTTACATGGCATATCTTTTCTCACCCTATCTGTGTCTTTATATTTAAAGTTGGTTCCTTAGAGACAGTCACTAGTTGAGTTTTGCTTTTTTATCCACTCTGACAAGCCACCTTTTAATTGGAGTGGTTAGACCATTTTTATATAAAGCCATTATTGAAATGTTTGGGTTTAAATTTACCATTTTACTATCTGTTCTTTTTTCCATTTTTTCCTCTTTTCATGTCTTTACATTATTTTTCATTATCCCATTTTATCTCCA